CCGCGAGCCGGCGGGGCAGGAATGCTAGCTCAGGAAGAGCCAAGCTGCTGCTGCCAGCATGTCTAGCCCATGGGGCAGGCTGTGTCCTAGGGCACACGAAGCCGTGGCCACCAAGGGATGTCCAATGAAGGCAGCCCCGGGGCTCACATGTCCCTGTGCTATAAGCCAGGAGGCATGGGGTACCTGGCTGCTGGGGCACCCTGCGCTGGAAGTGGGCTGCTGGGGAGAGTTCCTGCACCCCTCTGAGCTGTCACCAGTGTCCCCAGTGTGCTCGGGAGCTGGGACTGGCTGGAAGCCCACAATGGCAGCCTGCTTCTCCCTGCCCGGAGGCTCCAGCTCAGCCCTGCAGGCAGGACCAAGGCTTGGCCCTCTCCACCCTCTGCCTGGCCCCGATAAAGCACCACGGCTTGAGGTCCCCATCTTGTGGCAGCAGGGACAAATGGCTGGGACAAAATTCATCCCTGCTCTTCGGAGCTCAGCGGTTCTTTGGCCAGGCAGAGCCCCGGGAAAGCGCTGCAGAGCCAGGACACTGCCCACTGCCACACAACATGTCCTGCCTAAGGACACAACACTGCATGGTAGTGGTTGGAAGTGAAAGCCTGGCAGAGGCAGTGGGGACAACTGCCAACCCCTTCCCCTCCATGCACATATTGTCCCCTGCGTTGCTCTTACACCTTGCCTCTTGTGCACACATCATGTGCATAAGGACCCCGCAAGGGTCCTCTGTGGCCGGGTTTGGAGCATCCCAAGTCTGTCCTGGATTTGATGCTGCCTCTTCCTGGTGCTTTACACACTAGTCCACACTACCTTGCACACTTGTGTGTCCTGACCCCCCCACCATGCCCCTGCTCCCCCTGAGCTCCCCAGGGAGCAGAGTTGTGCCCACAGCTATGCATGGGTGATGTCAGCTGGAAGCGTGCAACCTGCTCCATGCAAAGGTAGATCAGGTCAGTCAGCGGTGCCCTGACCAGCTTTGTCTTCCCCTGTTCACCGTTCTCAGGTGTGGTGAGCATATGGGGTCATGATGCCTGTGGTGCTTTGCAAGAGAAACCCTGGGGGCTGGAGGGTGTCCCTCTCTCTCCAGAGTCATTTGGGGTCTCTCTTGCTTCCAATATGTTCACTGATGGTGACTGGAGGCTGTGGGAAGCATTCATCCTTGCAAGTGCCAGGGAGCAAAGGGGCCCATGGCAACCTTGTCTTGGTTCCATGCTCTGGCTCTGCTCCACCAGCTTTCTCAAAACTTCTCCCCAGCACTGAGCACCCCCCAGCCCTGGCAGGGCTGGGGCAGCCTTACTCAGCACCTGGCAGGTTGTAGCCCCCCAGGACTATCTGCCGCCCTGTCTCCTACCACACCCACAGCTGGAGGAGAGCCCACACTCTCCTTTATCAGCCACCCACAGCCCCCGCCCCGGCCACCCCACTGCAGGCTGCGATAAGGGCTGGGGCTGCGCAGACACCAGCACTGCAGCACCCAGCGCCGCTTTGCTGCCTGTGCTCATTTTCCTGCTCTGACACCCCCTACCCTACTGCAGTTCAGAGCGCAAAGAGCAGGATCTGGGGCTCAGCCCCATCTGCTCCCCTTGCAGTCCCCCATGCCCGCTCTCTCCCCCAGCCTGCCAGCCCCCCAGAACCCCTCCAAAGTGACACCCCAGCAATGCAGTAATCCCAGATGCCCATGGCTGACAGAGCAGTGTCTGCCTGCTGGGCACCACCACCCAAACACTGTCTCTCTCAGAGACAGCAAAGCTAAAGCCCATTTCCTCCATGTGCCCACCTGGCAGGGAGGGCCCTCAGTTCGGACCCCCGGAGCAGATCCCTCCCGCTCCCTCCCCGCAGGCAGCAACCAGAGCAGGACGCCAGGGCTGGAGCACAAATGCAACAGATTTTATTTCAGATCATTTGGCTGCTCGCTGTCAGAGGGCTGGCAGTGGGTTGGGTCCAGCTCTAGCCATGGTGCCGTCTTAACGGTACTTGGCAGTCAGCACAGCAGACACAGCGCACAGGAACTTGTCCAGTGAAGCATGGACCTCCGGGGTCAGGACAGAGGGGAAGTGGATGGCCACCACCACCAGGAAGCATTGGCCCAGCAGCTGAAAGGAAAAGGAGATGGTGAGCAAGGGGGTGAGGCGAGAGGGTAGCCAGGGGGTGCAGGAGGGGAGCTGGGCTGGTCACCCCTTCCCAGATACTCACTTTGAAGTTGACAGGGTCCACGCGGAGCTTTTGGGCGTGGAGGTCGCTGAGCTTGCTGAGGGCACCCGCGATGTCATCGATGTGGTTGCAAGCCTCAACCAGTGCAGCTCCCACTTTCTTGCCGTGCGCCTTGATCTGAGCAGAGCCGTGGTGCAGGTCGAAGTGGGGGAAGTAGGTCTTGGTCTGGGGGTAGGTGGTGAACATCCTGGGGGACAGAAGCGGTCAGAGACGGATGAGACAGGGACAGGGTCACGTAGGACAGGGACAGTTGTGGATGGGGAGAGGATGGGGGCAGATGGGAGGGAGTCAGGAACAGACAGGGGAGGGGATGACGATGGGGATGGACACGTACCTCTCCAGGGCCTCGCCGAGTAAGTCATCGACCTGGCTGCCGGCCTTGGAGAAGACGGACTTCACATTGGTCTTGTCGCTGGCAGACAGCACCATGGTGTCACCTCCGCGTTGGCAGCCCCAGCACGGCTGCCCCGGACGCCCCGCTCCTCCCCGCGGCCCCGGCCCCGGCCCGGGGTCTCTGCCCCCGGCACCAGCGCGGCTTTGGGTCAGGATTAGGGTTAGGGCTTGCATCAGCGCAGGCTGGGTGGTCCGTCCCCTCTAGCACAGGCTGGCTGCAGGTTCGGCTTAGGGTCAGGCTTAAGCGTAGGTTTAGGCTCAGGCTTAGGCTTAGGTTTAGGGTCTGCGCTGGCATGGGTTGAGGTTAGGGTCTGCACTAGCACAGGCGGAGGAGTCTGTGCATGTCCCTGCCCGGCACAGGCTGGGTTCAGGGCTCGGAGCGGGGTACCGGCTGAGGTCCCCCTGCCGCAGGCAGCTCTGGCACAGCCTGGATGTGTTCTGGCAGGATGGCGGGGACAGCAGTGTGCGGGTTTTAACTTCAATAGCGGGGTGGGAGTCTGTGCCCCACAGACTGAGCCTGCCCAGCGCCCCCAACACCCACATGCAGCCCCATAGGCACCTGCAGGTACAGACTGACCCATCCAACACAGCCTTCACGCACACACGTGAACTGCCCCGGTTACACGCACTGCCCCTACACGCACTGCCATCTAACACGGCCCCTACACATAGACCGTCCTTGCACACACACGCGCTGCCCCTACACACACGCTGCCATCCAACACAGCCCCTGTGCACACGCTGTCCCTGCACACACACGCTGCCCCTATACACACCCGGGCATCCACCGCGGCCCCTATACACACAGCCACTCATCCACGCTGCCCCACTGCACTTACTGCTCTTGTTCCCTCTGTGCACCCCAAACTGGTGTACCCCAAAGTGTGTGCCCTCTTCACCCCCTGCTTCCCGAACTGCAGTCGCGTCCCTTTGCATACAGACCCCGGAGCTCCCTTGCCCCAGCCCTCTCTCCTGCGCAGTGCAGTGCTGTGGAGGAACCGGGTGACCCTGACTCCTGGGAAGGGGGGACACTCAGCAGGGCCATGGGGATCAGCGCCGGGCACCGGTGCAAGCACTGGCCTGCAGCAGCAGGAGCTCACAGCCAGGAAAAGAAGGCATGCAGGGCCACAGCGGCTCATGGCGAGCCCCGTGTGCCCCAAATGATGAAGGCGAGGAAGGCAAAAAGGGCAAGGACGATGAGGATGGTGAGGAAGATGAGGCGGGTGAGAGGGGGCCTGTGGTGCTTCCAGTAGGTTCGAGAGCTGGCACAGGCAGGCAGGGGACAGTTCACACCCGTGTTTCCTCCATGGTTCTTATCATTTGTGTTTAGAGGAGATTAGCTTGAGCTGGCACCGTTTCAGAGCAGGGAAGGAGGGGAGGACGGAGGGGCTGATCTTCTGGGAAGCAGAGCCCAGGGAAACAGCGGCGGGGCGGTGTGTCTGCTGCCTGTGCGTGCATCGGGGGGCAAACTGCAAAGGCAGAAGAGCCCTTCAAACTGGTAGCACAAGAAAAAATGGGTGTAAATGTGCATGAAGACACTGGGCTGTAGATTGGGATGTGTCTGAGGATGGAGGAAAAGTGCTATAGGTTCATGAGTGCACTGGCAGGAGCAGGGGCTGGCATGGCCCAGGGACTCCCAGCCCTGTGTTTCTGCGCAGGCAGGGTCCCTGCACACCCAGCACCCGGCTGCTGCCTGCGCTTGGCCACCACAAGCACTGCTCTCCCGATGCACCATCTCCCATCCCTCAAGAACGCTTATCTCCTCCCACTGGTGTCACAGCACAGAGCAAACCCAGGGCTACTTTAGTATCTTATAACCCATCACCTGTGATCTAAAGACAATGATTTTTTTTTTAAATTCAGGCTCCAAAACCCTGAAACCAGTGACCCTGTGCTGGACTGCAGCTCTGCCTGCCCCGCTCCCACCTTGCCCAGGCTCTAGGGGAAGCGCAGGCACCCGGGGCAGGTGTGGGAGCACTTCCCTGGCAGTCGACAGGGATTTGTGGCTCCGGGGCTTGAGCTCAAGAAGTGTTTGTGCTTAATGGTCTGTGGGGGATCTTTTTCACTCCATGAACTTGTCTGATTGCCTGTGGAGCTCATTTGGGCACTTAGCTCCCACAGTATTCCCAATAAAGCCCTAAATAACCTTTGTGATAGATGGAGCCAGGAGGGGTTAACCCTGCCTTCAAGGGGATGCAAGAACCACATTTGGCTTGGTGCATCCTTCTGCCCCGCTCCCCAGAGGGATGGAGGCATGGTGAGGCGACAGGCTGAGCTCCATTCCCTGGGTCCTGCTCCCAGCATTGGCCGCATCCCAAGTTGGGGCGGGATGGAAGCAGGCAGGGCCCTGGGGGGCACCCAGGGAGGTCATGGCCAGTGCTGCCCCCCCGTACCATGGCTGGCCTCACCGGCAGCTCCCTCCCTCCGATGGGAGCACCACAACACCCCAGCCCACCCTGGCCCTTGGCCCCGGCACAGACGGACACGGTGCTGCGGCAAAGGTGTCTTTATTGATGGCACCTAGGCATGACTGACAGCTCATCTGTACTTCTCGGCCAGCACGGCAGCCACGGCCGACAGGAACTTGTCGAAGGCAGCGTGCACCTCGGGGGTGTACTCGGTGCCGAGGTGCACGGCCAGCACCACCTGGAAGCACTGCGACAGCAGCTGCAAGGCAAAACGGGGCTCAGCACCGCCGCTACGGCCCCTGTCCCTCCGTTCTGGTCCCCATCCCTCATCCCCCGTCCCCTGTCCCCCATCCGCCGTCCCCCGTCCCCCATCCCCTGCCTGCCTTGAAGTTGACGGGGTCAACACGCAGGTTGTAGGCATGCAGGCTGCTGAGCTCGGACAGGGCCTGGCCAAGGTTGTCCAGGCACTTGACGGCGTTGTCCAAGGCGGTCACCACCTTCTTGCCATGGCTGCGGATCTGGTCAGAGCCGTGGTGCAGGTCGAAGTGGGGGAAGTAGGTCTTGGTCTGGGGGTAGGTGATGAACATCCTGCCGGAGCGGGAGGGTCAGTGCCGCTGACCCCCAGCTGGACCCCCTCAACCAGCCTCCCGGGGGGCTCCCACCCACGCACCCCCCTCGGCCATGGGGTTCCCGAGCCCAGCTCGCACCTATACAGGGCCTCGGCTCCAAAGACATCCTTCTGGGGCACCTTATCCCAGAAGCGGCAGATCAGCTTCTTTTCCTCGGCGGTCAGCATGGTGGCAGCTGGCAGCAGGCAGGTCTCGGTGGCAGCGGTGCCTGCAGGGGTGCCTTGTTATAGTGGCTGGCACCTCCGCCCCGGCCTTATCTTATCGGCGCCGAGGGGCTGGGGGGCCATGGCCATGCAGTGCCGGCCCCAGGGAGTGGCTGCGGCACTGCCTCGGGGGGCCCCGGACGCCTCAGGGGGCCCAGCCCTGAGGAGGCCCCAAGGGGGCCCGGCCTCCCTGCCCGTCCCTGCCGCACTGCACCAGCCACCGGCAAGCGTGTCCTCAAGCCTCCTGTTGGGATCCGCCATTCCCCCCGGCTGGGCTGGGGTCCTCCCTGGCTCCGCGGGTGTCAGGGTGGGTCCCACATGTGTCCCTGGCCCCTCACGTCTGGCGCATCCAGCCCCTCTCTGCCCGAAGAGCCCCTGGGCCTCTGAGCAGCAGCCATGGATGAGCCTTCTCGTGTCATGCTGGGGATTTACCATGGGAAACACCATCTCTCCAGCAGCCCGGAGAAACCTGGGTGGGGAAGAACCTCCTTTTTGGGCGCATGGTCTTCCCAGAGTCTGCCCTGTGATGCTTGTCAGGCCTGGGCTTCTTCCCTTCTTCCCACCCCGGCGTGTGCTCCTGCCTCTCCCTGTAAACGCTGGGACATCCCGCAGGGCATATGGTGGTTGGTGACTGTCACATCCTTCGCTCAGCCTCTGTACAAAGTCATTGGTACAAATTTGGGGTTAAGGACACACCAGATGCTGACCTACCATCTGAGCTGTGGATTTAAACATTCAGGTTACCTGAGACCCACAAATGTATAAAGTTTTAAAAACTACAGTGGTACACTGGGTGACACATTTAGAGCAATTGGGCGGTTTCAGAGCTTCCGCACCATCTCTCTCCCCCTTGTCCGCACACAGTCCTAAATGAGATGAGGATGGCTTGCAGTGCCAGTTCAGGTTGTCGATCAGAATGTACTTAAGACTTTGCCCCCACCTTTTCATGTCAGAAGTCCTCTGAGACAGGCATGGCAGTGAATGTAACCCGATAAATAATTTTCTTCACAGCAGCTCACATGGTGTTGTGTTTTAGATTTTTGACCAAGCCAGCCCTGATAACACACTGATGTTCTGCCTTTTGCTGAGCAGTGTTTGCGCAGCATCAGGGCCGTCTCTGCTTCTCATGCTGCCCCCCAGGGAATAGATTTTGGGGTGCACGGTACGCTGGGATGGGACACAACCAGGCAGCTGACCCCAACTAACCAAGGAGGTATTTCATACCATATAATGCCATACTCAGCAATAAAAGGGAAAAGAGGGGGTTTTAGGGAGTTTTAGGGGGGGTTACTCATCTTTTTTGCTCAGGAGCTGGCTGGGCATCGGTCTAGGCATGGGAGGTGGTGAGTGATTGACTTTGCATTGCCTGTTTTGTTTTGTTTTCTTCCCTCTTCTTCCACTTATCCTTCACTTATTAAACAGTTATTTCTGTTTGTTTGTTTGTTTGTTTGATCTTGACCCTGAAGTTTTCTTGCTTTTATTCTTCCTTTCCTCTTCCCCTCATCCCATTGGGATCACTCCCCAGTGAGCAAGCAACTGTGCAGTGCTTAGCTGCCCACTGGGGTTTACCCACAACAGGTACATATGGAGCATCCATACGGCCTCAAGCTGCGCCAGGGGAAGTTTAGGTTGGATATCAGGAAAAACTTCTTCACCGAAAGGGTAGTCAGGCACTGGAACAGACTGCCCAGGGAAGTGGTTGAGTCTCCATCCCTGGAGGTATTTAAAAGAAGGGTAGATGTGGTGCTCGAGGACATGGTTTAGTGGTGGACTTGGCAGTGATAGGTTAACAGTTGGACTCGGTGATCTTAAGGGTCTTTTCCAACCTTAATGATTCTATGATCCCTGCGCTCCCCCCCAGGGTGACCATCAGTTGTGTACTCTTCCCTGTCGCTGCTTTCCAGAGAAACCCTGTGAATTTGTGGTCCCCCAGATGCCATCAACACTGATCTCCAGTGGCCACCAGTATTCCCAAATTTCAAATGCATGTGAAGTTCCCTGTATAAAAATAAGAGATGTCAAGCTGAGGGGATGGTCCCTTTACCAACCCTGTCTAGCAGGTGTGATAGCCCAAGGTGTTCATGAAGTGTATCAGATACCTTGTCCATACCCCATGGAGAGGAGCATGAGAAGACAATGCCCAGCATCGCTCTGGCACATCACAACATATGGCAATGCAAGTTTTGTTCACAACAGGCTGTGATGGGTTTTGGATAGGCCAAACAAAAAGCCTGGGTCCATTCAATATCCTAGCAGGGTAAAAGACTGTTTCCTGGTCAGCCTGGAAACAGTCTTTGATGGATATACCTTTGGTGAGCAGTAGCAGTCACAGGGCTTTAGCCTGTTCTGGGCTTCTGCTCAACGTTCTGTTATTCCCACTAATATTATGTTATGCTATTGCCACTGAATTTACACAGCTTAGCACATGAATTAGTACGTGTTCATTAGTACATGAATTAGTACATGAATTTACACAGCTTAGTGTTTTCCCCTCCATATTGTGTAGACGTTTCAGAACACCCTTGCCTGAACAGTGAAGTATAGGTGGAACACATGGAGATGAAAGCACAGAGACCATAGCTCACATTCGAATTATTTATTGGGTTTTGCAGATGACCGAACCCTTGCATAGGGGATTTGAGAGGACTGCGTAGGAAGGGGTGAGTACCCCAGAGCCTGGCAGCTGGGGTGCGCCAGGGATGTGCCTCCCTCACCCTCTGTGGAGGCCATTTATCTGTACTTCTCAGTCAGAACAGAGGAAACACTGGACAGGAACTTGTCCCACGCAGCATGAACTTCTGGGGTGAAGTCACTGGGATAGCGGGCAGCCACAGAGCACAGGATACAGTGGGAAAGCAGCTGTAAGGGAAAACAGGGTGAAATCCATCGTAATCAGTAACAGATGTCAGTCTAGGGGTCTGCAACGGACCTTGGTCCCAGCGTGCTCTGGGATGACAACTACATGTCCCAGCCAGGTAGCGCTGCTGCCTGATGCTATGTGTGAAGAAGCAGAGTTGTCTCTGGTATAGGGCAAAAGGCACTGCTCGATACCACTCCCTCTTTCCAAATGTCCCTTCCTTCCTCCCCAAAGGGAAATGCAACAAAGTGGAGATGTTTAGAATTTACTTTGTTCAAGACAGGTGATGTAACTTGACTTGTGAGGGAGGTTCATAAATTACAACAAAGGCAGCAGGGACTCGAGGCTGTCTAACACAAACCACAGGAGCTCCCTGAGTAGTTTTTTTTGCTTGAGCTAGACCAGGTCTTTCATTAAAAGATCCAGTCTCAGGTTAAAACTCAGATGGGGAACAAGAGGCAGCATGAGTTGACAAGGCTGTGCAGTGCAGTCAGGGATCAAGCTGCCATTAGCCAAAATGGTCTGTGGTCGCTAATTCTGTGATGACAGTTTTCATCCCTGAAAGTCTCTGTGTCCACTCACCTTGAAGTTCACTGGGTCCACTCTGAGGATGTAAGCATGCAGCTCGCTGAGTTTGGCCAAAGCGCTTCTGATGTCGTCAATGTTCTTCACAGCTTCCCCAATGGCATTCATGACCTTGGACCCATGACCACGAAGCTGAACTGAGCCTTGGCTGAGATCAAAGTGAGGGAAGTAGGTTTTCGTCTGGGGGTAGCTGGAGAAAAGCCTGAAGGAGAACATGAGAATGAGATTCGGCAGTGGAAGTGACATGCATGAGGTGGTAAAACCTCAGAGCAAGTGCAGTGTAAACCTGCCAGCTACAGAAATGCACTCCTTCAGAGGTTGTAACAGAGCTTTGGGATCTTGAAGCTTGCATCGAGAAAGTCTTTCTGCTCTTAAACCTCTTCTGCAGTACGTGCAGATTAGACAGTGGGCTAATCTGTATGTACTAGAGAAGAATGACATGTTAAAAATAATTTTTAACCCAATGTATTTTTTGTTTTTTTTGGGGAGTATTATAAAATAAATAATAGCCCCAAATTGTCACTACATATCCTATATTACATTGTAAGCCAGTTTGCAGGATCTTCAAACTAATAGGAGCTGAACGAACCAGAATCAATGTGAGTGGTACAGTGCTGGAAGGAGTATCGCAATACTTTATCTTGAGCTGTAAATAATGTTTAAATAACTTTGAGTAACATAATAACTTCTGAACAATTTCCAGACTATTTTCCCTTTTGTGCCAGCTTGCTTAATTTGTACGAATTTGGGATTACTGTGCTATACTTCATGCAAGGGTCCGGTTGTCTTGTTTCCTAACAGTTTGTTACTTATCAACTGGCACAATGAAACATGAGTATCCAGTGAATTTAGTGGACAGCTATTCTCTTCATGCCTAGAAATTGTAAGAGAAAGTGCATCACTTGTACAATAAACCACTTCAAGTTCATTTCCTAACAGTGATAACCCTATTTCAGGACACTGAGTATGAATGACTTTGAATTCCTCGCCAGGGCTCCTGGCTACGGGAAATAAGCCATTAGAATTACTGAGAAAACTATGTTTTGCTGTAAGATTTTGTAAGCCATCTATTAGCATTTAGTAGCACAGATATAATTCCAGAAAATTACATACGAAACAACATAGAAGTCATCCATCAACTCTCACCAGTCCCAGTGTGCTCTCACGCATGCAAGTTGTATGCGTGATGCATATGATGCATGATGTATGATGCAAGAGATGCATCCTAACAGCAAAGCCAGAGGAGGCACGCTCTTCAGAGAGGTTCCGGGGGGACTTACCTCTCCAGTGATTCTGCCCCAATGGCATCAGCTTGGGTAGCCACCTTTGCCCAGATGGTGACCACGGCGGCCTTCTCGGCTTGAGTCAGCGTCATTGTGCAGGAGGGTGCAGGCTCAGGCTCCTTGCAATGAACACTCAGAGCAGGTTTGGACTCATCGCCCTGGCAGCCCTGGTTATAAAGAGGAAGGGGAGAGCAGACCTTGGCGCCTGTCCACGCTCATTGGTCACCCCAGAGGCCCAC